CACTGTGAGAACCCGGCATGACGCCAATCTGTCTGTCATGAGTTGCGGAACGAGGCGCCACGTTCCCCATGTTGATTGAAAACGCAGTTTCCGTGCGAAAGCGCTTGCCCCCAGGCGCCCGGAGCGCCGGAGCGCATCAAAATGCAAATGCGCTGCGTGTGCTGGGAATGACTCAACGCGGAGACTTAGCTGACTACACTCTGATTTCGCGCGTTCTACGTAAGAGTTCTCGCAAGACGCGGGCCATACGAACATGACGTTCCCAGTGTCAGACACTGGGCCCGCTACGCCGACAATCAAAAAAATCGTGAGGCGCGCAAGGTTATGCGCCCCAAGCTCAACGCTGTAAGAATTGCTGCCTTTTGCATCTGCGCGCGCAACAGTACACTCGATCTAACATCCTCACCCCCTTAGGGGGGGGGGTCTGGAAATGTAGTTTGCATTTTCTGGGGTTTGCCGCCTCAAGCATGCAGCGGTTACATTTTTGTCTGCAAACCTGAAAAATGTAAGATTACATTTTCGCCGCGTCAGCCAAGGCACCTCACACATAGCCAAGTTAAATGTTCAGGAAAATGTAATATTACATTTTTCAGGTGCTTGAGTGTGGAGATTGGACATGCTAGGAGACTAATCAGGGATGGTATCAAGGGACATTGTCATTGCCAAATTGTAGACAGCGTGGGGACACTGCTTTTCAAATCCTGATTGCGTGGTGCTGCTTTGTTTGCCATCCTACCTGAGCCCATCCGGAAATCGGGGCAGACGTGGGATCAATCTGCGTCAACCATCCTCAAAAATCTCCCACCCCCCGCCCACTGCCTCCACCCTTCCCTGTCAAGCTTCCCAGCAGGAAATCCTTGACAATCCTTGAACATGTCAATATTTTTTGTGGTGGGAGGGGGGGGGGGGCTGAGAAAATGTAACTTCTACGTGCCCTGAGAAAATGTAACTTCTACGTGCCCAGGTGCAAGCTACATTTTAAGCCCCCCCCCCCACCCCTCCCCCAAACAAAAGAAAACCTGAAAATATACACCAGGGACACTCTTACATTTGTTTTCTGGGAGGGGGAGGGGGTTGGAAAATGTAGGTTGCATGTTCAGAGTTTCGGACCCTAAGGGGGTGGGTGTGATCTAACCCGCTGGCATTTCGCGCCTAACGAAGTTCGCGCGCAGAAGCTCCCTGCGTCAGAAGCGCCAACAGGGTTTCAGCGGGATAGACTCAATATCCTTGACTCACAGGCGGCGAATCTGCTTCACGTGGAAGGCGCCAACTTGTTCAGCTGCTTCATGCTGGCTCCCTCAAAGCATCACTGGGTGGCCCCAGACACAATGAGATCACTTGCGCACGGTGTCTGAAGTTGTGGGTCTCATTTTGGTTTTCAGCACGCTTTGTGCACGGGGCCTTGTTCTTTCGCGGCGTCCTTGTCAGTGACCAAAAGAGATCATTGGTTGTCACGCGGAGTTTTGAAAGAAGCCCGCCTGCTGTGGACGGCGCAGGCTTTCGCCATCGAGGCCAGTCACGACGGCTGTCACGAGTCTTTCTCGCGACATCCTTGCACCCGCCGATCTTTCTTCTCTTGCAACCAGCCTGTGGACGTGAGTGACCGAGACAAGTGGAACGACGCTATAGCCAGTCGCCCAATCAAAATGAGGCAGCGGGTGCTCCACACCTAGCCCCATGCTTTTCCTTCTCCACACAAACACACACGCGCTGGCCTCATGGCTACTGATACTCCTTGCGCCCAGGGCACTTGCTCGTGCAAGATGACTTCTCGCAGCGGCAGAGCTTGAGACATGTTGGCTGGTTTGCGCTCTCAGCATTGAGGATCTGCGCAAGCGTGTGAGGAAGAATCAAAGAAAGTTGCATGAGTGAGAAACTCACCAAAAATCGGGCCCAGAAGACCATTCTTGAGTTGACAGAGTTCAGCTGCGTGAACCAACTTCTCCGCGCAACTGCGCTCGCGCAACGGACATCCTGGTCGCCCCAGCTCCCTGCGCTCCCTGCAAGAGGTCTTTTGAGACCTAGAGGACGACCCCGCCCAGCATTCGTCAGCTCGATGCAAACAGGCGTGCGTGCCTGTTGCTGAATGTGTTGTTGGCAGTCCCTTTTTACACTTTGGGTTGTTGCAGATTCAACACGTCAGCAGTTTACCGTCGGGTTTCTTACAAAACAGGACGAAGAGAGGCAAGCGAGGCAGGGGCGATGAGGAGCGCCAAATTTTGGATTTTTGTTTTTTTGGGATTTGTTGCTTTCCGTCCTGGCAACTAAAGTGCTGTAATTTACAGCATTTTCTCGCGAAATGTACGTATTTTAAGCTGGTCCGTCAACATCACCAGCATTGTTTTCAACATCCCCCGCATGTCCAGCTGGGGCATCACCAGCAAATCGAGGGCCTTGGCTTCCTGCGTCTTCAGCATCATCAGTTCCTATGCGGCAAGGCCTCATGGTAAAAGTGAGGATTCAAACACGGGCAAACTAATCCCTGTAAAACACTTAAAACATAGCAGGGGGCTTGGGGGGGCGGCAGCCCCGGTGCGTGTTAATCTCTGCCAAAAATCCAAAAAGTAGCGGGGGGGTTTGGGGGGGGGCGGCAGCCCTCATGGTGATCAAAAAGTGATGATTCAATTAGGGGCAAAAAAGTCTGAAAAGCAGCGCCGCAAGCTTAGCGAGGAGTTGGCTGACGTCTCCGTGACCTCGTTCAAAAAAAGCGGTTAGTCCGGATGGGTGTAAGATGCTTGGGTGCGCGCTAGTTGCAGGAGCACAGTAGTTGGCGAATCGCAGTCGCAGCTCCAATCAGGAAAGCTTGCGGAGCTGGGCTGGTTAAAGAAGGAGTAGGGCGCCTCCTGGCACACGAGCTCCAGAATGAAAAGGCCGAAGTCAGCATGATCAATGAATGGTGGCGAAAGGAGGATGAATTAAGTTGGGCATCTACATCTACATCAATTTGCGGATTCACACGCCTAAGAGGCCTGGCGAACTACGTTGGCTGTGTCCTTAGCTGGAACGAGCGGTCCGTGGGCCAAACATTGCGACCCCCTTCTTTTCGTGACTTCTGAAAGCTCTGCGCTGAACCCGCACGAGCCCGGGAACGAGCGCCATTGCCTGACGCAGCTACGTTTGTGGTATAGACGGAACCCTCTTTAGGGCCACCTCAAGAAGAGAGATCGGATCGGATCAGACGCCAAACTGGCCGAACATGTGAACCGCAACAGGATCGCGTCCAAAATGCAATGTGGCTTGAGAGCTAGGAGGCGCTACGGATATTGCTTGTACCCTGGAAATGGCCATGGAAATTGCCCGGGGCAAAGCGCGTCCATTTCGTGGATAGCGCTATCCAAACAAAGGTTCAGAGTGTTACGCAAGTCGGGCATTAGGGAAAGGTTGCTGACCCCGTTGCCTTTCTCCATATTTCTGAGCGCAGTGTGCAAGGCAGGGGTGTCAACGTCTGGAGGCGGAGTTGATTGGCTTACGCGCATTGATGGCGCGCTGGAGCACAGAGAAGCGCTCAACAAATACGGGTCGCTACACTCTGTGCGCCCCGAGGTGTTGGCGTAGCCGACGACGCAGCGCTCACATAAGACTGAAGGCAATGTTGCTTGGTGAGAACACGCGCGGGCGGTGTAACCGCAGTGCCTTGTTCATGGCAGAGACCCGCCGGAATGGCCGCCCGCCCGGTCGCTGTGCGAAACGGACCCCTTGGTATTGCGAGAGGATGTGCTGCAACATTACATGGAACAGCTGGAGTCGCCCGTTGAAGCAAGGGCTTTCAAGATCTGATAGGCGAGCGTTGTGGTCCGAGATGATGGCCAAGGCTGGATTGGCGTGGTTGAAGCTGAACTATTTTGACTGCTAGCTCCTGTGGGGAACGTGTGTTGAAGTTGACAAGCAGCGTGTTGTCGTCCAGCTGGGCGCATCGCCCGCGAGACGCTTCAAGTGTCACCCTGAAGAAGAAGGTGAGGCGTGAGACACGGGCAAGCGAGGATGACAAAAGAGAGTCGTCGAGGTCGACGCCGAAGGAGAGGTGTGAAGCCAGCCCAGCGAAGAAGGATAGATCGAAGTCACCTCCGAGTTCCAGCCAAACTCGTCAGCCGAGGAAGAAGCTCATCTTAAGGAAGGTGGAGGAAGCTAAGGTGACGATCAGGTGACGCAAGCCTAGAGCATCGCTACACACCTTTACGCGGAGAAGAACGAGCAAGCTTCTGACACGATTCAGAGACACGACAGGCGCGTTTGAGATGGACGACGTGGGTCGCTCAACCGAGAAGAGAACAGTGCTTGATCATCGAACGCGCGAACTGAAGAGGTTGACCTGCGCGTTGTCGCGGGTGGCGCAGTGCGAAGGCGTGGCCAACAACCTTGAATCTACAGGGGCATAGGGAGGAGGCTTGGGTCGGACACGCGCAGCAAGGATCGTTGAGGGCGAGGCCCGATAGATAGAGAGAAGCAGGAGTGGTAAGAAGACAGAGGGAGTAAGAACGACGGCTAGCCACACTTCATACGAGCCGTCAACAAGCTCTTTGCCACAAAGACAGTGCTTGATCTTGTGAAAGTACAGCGCTTGCCACGAGACTGTACCTGCCATGACATCTGTGCCAGAGCTTGCGAAAGTGCTGTGCGTGCCACGAAATCTGTGCCACCTTAAGCTCTGCGCCTGCCACGCAAAGCAATGTTGCGAAACTTGCGCGCATCGTGGCAATGGGCCTGGTTCCGAGCGCTCCGAACGTGCTCCAAGAGTGCTCCGAACGGGCTCCGGCCAGGCGTCGCGATCAAGCATCCCGAAGAACGACACCGCAGAACCTTCTGCGCGTGTTTTTCGTGTTTATTCTTCTGTCATTTGTGAATGAGTTGCCGGTCCACGGTTGTGTTTTTTGCAAAAGGAGATTGCTGATAAGTAGGCAGCCACCAGCCAAGTAAACAGCGCGCGCGTCAGTGACAAGTAGACCAGTGGATCAGCGTCAATTGCCGCTTTCCACGAAACCAATCGGACTCTTTCCACGAAGGACGTCCAGAGGGGATGTCATCAACGTGAAAGGCAACGACAAGTACGTTGTCAGCAAGGCGTGGCTCAAACTTGACACTGCTGGCTTTGCGCTGGGCAAATGAGGTCCGCTTTTTGTACGACTTGGTGGGTGGCAGATACCGCCTTCGGAGCAAAGTTCTGGAGGTGGAATATATGTGTTTTTGGGGTGAGTTTGGTTCATCGTGTTTGACAGGTCCAAACTCCCAGACGCTACAAAATCAATGAGCAGCTTGCTGACCTTGCGCCTCGATGCAGTTGTGAATTCTTGTGCCCCCACAATGACAGATTGAGGTGGGATTGTCTTCCCAACTCACGCCAGTTTTGCTAAGGTGCCTCACGAGCGACAATGATACAACGTGATATAGCAGAGCGAGTGCAAGGCTCAATCGCCAGTGTGGGCCAAGATGGGCATGGTTTCCTTTGTTAGCATTGCGTATCCTTGTAGTGAATTGTTGCCAAACTTGCATTGTGCCATGGCTGACAATCCATTTGCAGCTTTGAACTGAGTCTTTGTTCGTGGGTGACAGGCATTCATTCACTTCAAGTGATCTTGTGTTGTAAGCCAAACGGCCGTCCGAATTTTCCAGCCCCTGCGGCTTGTTGCTGCCTGGTGGCCCCAGTCAGCAGACCCGGCCAATGAATGACGAGCACGCTGCATGATTGCAATCTAGCTCTTCGCAGAAAAATGCGAGAATTGTGCTCTCAGTGCTGATTGTTCTGGGTAAGCGCGGTATTTCAGCGGTCATATTGTGGCAGCTTTGGCTCACATTGCGACAGCAACATGTGCCAGATTCGCATTGGCAAAGAGCAAAGCTGCAGCTGGTCAGCTGGAAAGCAAACAAAATGATCGACAACGCAGGAATCATATTCTTGGTGGATTGCAACATGTCCACAGAAGGTGCTTCTTGACTCACTGACATTTCCAAAGTTGTGCCACGCTTGAGCATGAAAAGCTAAAATGGCTGCATTCTCGGCTGACAGTGGATGTGGCGCAGTTTTTTGTGGTTTCAAGCTTTCATCGTAATTCATGGAGAACGGGCGTGTGTTTCATGAGTCTTTGGACTTGCAGGCTTCACCTGCCACGCCCGGTATGCAGTTTTGGCCTAAGTGTGTGGAAGCATGGTCACAGCCCGAACTTTGTGTTGCCTTAGGCCCCAATGGATGCACTGCGATTTGCTGGCTTACACTATTCTGGAGGATTTGTTTGTGCTTAATGCAGCACAACCAGATATATTTAGCTTCAGATTGCAATTGTTTGACTACTTGGGAATGTTGCTGACAGGAAGTCAGTGCGCAGATCTCATCCAACTGCCGTACTCTGGGAGATCGCCTCCAGAGTGTTCCGCCCTAAGAATACCTTTGATGCGAACTTAGAATGCCAAGCACGATGAGGCTTGTCGCCTGGCTCTGCAGCAGTTGCCAGAGGCAGGCATGTCAAGCTGATGCAGGTCAATCTTTCTAGCCTGCAGGACAATGCTGCTTCGGAAGCAGACTCAGACTTCCCCATGACAGCTTTGGCTCACGTTCGGATTCCATCAATTCCCAGCTCTCCGTCAATTGGCCTTGTTGAAATGCACTGACTAAGGCTGGTGCGTGCTCTGAATTCCTGTCGACGTTTGCCAGTTTCAGCACTGCTCTGATGGCGGTTGCCGGTGACTTGGAGCTTGGGCCTGAGAGGCCCGAGAGGCGATGTGAGATGCCGACTCCGACCACACAACGTCCGACGGTCCGACGCGCTGTCTCAGGATAATTGTCACTCAGCCGCTACAGCGAACCATCGCTGTGCTTGTCGAAGAAAGCACCGGGCGTGCCAAGCATTTGCAGCAGGTTCGGCCATTGCATTCGCTACTTGGTATTTGTTCTTTTCTTGCATACTCTTGCATGCACGGGGGCAGCACATTTTCTGCAAAAGCACATGTGTGAACAGGTGCGAAAACGCTTCGCAGATCTGCAGGACAGCCATGTTTTGCAGTTGTTGCAAGTCAAATAATTTCTTTGACAGGACAAATATGCAAAAACTCGGCAGAAGACCGTTGATGCCAAGTCCAAGAGTGAAACTTAGCAGGACTGGATCGTGCGGCAGTTTGCTTTCTAAGCACGTGATCCTATACATCTGTGCAGTGCTTTATGCCGAGGCTCGCAAATGGAGGACAGCCCCGTAGCAATAGCCATTTCTCGAGTCGGCAGGAAGGTGACATGGCTTCTTTTGACAAAGTGTTCGTCACAGCGCAGGTGACAAGCGCTGGTGGCGTAAGCCGCCAACGACTGAGTTGTCTATGTCATCACTGCTCGTGAAACACGTGCTGAGTTCTGCCATGTATGCTTTGAGGGAAAAAGCAGCTGCAGACCAGCATTGCTGACTGGTTGAATATCGTCAGAATCCAACTGCTGCGTTGACGCCATGAGCCTTGTACGCAGATCATGATTGCTAGCCATGAGTGCCAGGCATGCAGCAGTTTGCGATTTGGCATGTTGCGAAGAGGCACGGGACGTGATTTGCAGCTCTCGAGATGATAAGTTGCAGGAGCTCGTGGCAAGCGAAGCCAGTCTCCGCAAGCTGGAGGCGCGGACACGTGAGGACACGTCCGATTTGATCCGAATCTATTTTCTGAAAGTCAGGACGAAAGCCGTGAGCGTTTGGAGCAGCTAGAGCTTGAGCAGAAGGCAAGCAGCCGACAGGGCTATAATGGCGTTTCGCCTCGCGGCATCTGGCGGCTTTCGGCGGCTTTCGGCGGCATTCATGGCATGTGTCAACCCTCTCCTTCAACCCGCATCCACCCTCAACTCTTTGTAAACCAACCCGAACGCCTTAAGGCGATTCGAATTCCACCCCACCAAACCAACCCTAAACTAACCTAAATCATTGCCACATTTTGAGCCTTCACCCACCATACGGAGTTGGCGCCAGGCCACGCTTCAGCGGGTCCTGCAGCAGGGCAGATGCTCTTTGCGCCGTCTGTTGCGAGTAGCAGATGAGGCCACATGCTTGAAGCTGCGTGAAGCTGCTTGCTCCGGTGCGTCGGATAGCAATTTCTTTGTGAAAGCCAGGTTCCTCCCATGGAAGAGTTTCAAGGAGCTGGCAGCACAGTTTTGCCAGTGCAAACCGACTTGGACCTGGCAGAGTGTTCTGAGGTGATGCCTGGAGTGGATTTTTCGGCATCTTGCCTGAAGGAGGCTGGATTTGACAAGATTCAGCCTTGGCAATCTTGGCACATTTGCAGGCAAGTTGATGCCCCCTCAGGTTGTGGAGGCTCGTTCACCAGGCAATCGGTGCGTTTGAGATCCCTGTGCTTATTCGATTAGCTACTCTAGCTCTAAGGTGGACCTTCCCAGCCGGACAGAGACATGGACGCTGGTATGGAGAGTGCGAAGCCTTTGTTGCGTGATGTTCATTGCCTGAGAAGGACTCCATGCCCGATAGATTCGCCCGATATCTTCCAGGCTTTGGTCTCGCATCTAGAAGACACAGGGCTCTTGGCTTCAAGGTGCGGATTTCGATGGCGACCGTGACAAAGACATCGAGGCTTACGCGCCAAGAAAAGAAAGCGAATAGAACAAACGTGAACAAATTCAGTTTTTTTCTTACACATGTTCGCTCAATGTGAGGTCAATGCAGCTGCTCGAGCTGCGGGCTGGTCGCCTGACTCGCTGCCCCGCCATGTTTCATGCAAGTTCCGGAACATCCTCTCGGTTTTGTTCGCTGCGCAAGCAAGTTGCCTTTGCACAGGACTTCTTCCAGGACCTGCATCAATGCATTCCCTATCCCAGTTTCTTGGTTTTGGCATAAACTTTGGAGCCCCGAGATTCGCTAGGAAGGGACACCAATGGCTGAAACAGTTTTCTAAGAGCTCTACACCATACCTTTTGACCATACCCCGACAAGTTTTGGCACAGTTTTCAAGGTTTTAGCCTACTCCAATTTGCATCACGCAGGTTTTTGCTATGCACTTTCTGTGGCCGGTGAAGGGTCAACGCAAAGTGAAAAAGGTGAGAGCTTTCAAAGAACTGTTCACCAATTCTGCGCCTGATTTGATCCCTTGCTGTGGCCAGCATGGTTCTGCACATGATGGAAACCCGGATCAGCTTTTGTAAACTGCAGTGAAAGCTGTTCCAACCAATCCTGGGACCTGTCCCACCGAAAAAGCACTTGTTGTGGGAAACTATGGCATGGCACTGCGGTCGGCCTCCCCCCTTCACTAGGTCCCTAGCTTCAGGGTCCGGAATGTGTGTTTGGTGGAATGGTGGGGTTGGGGTATGCTCAAGTCAGGCTGCGTATGCCGTGGGGATTGGGCCCTGATTTGAGCGGGGTATATTGTTAATGTTTCTGGGAGAAAAGACTCCCAAACCGCCCCCAACTCCTGTTCCCAGGATTGGAGAATTGAGGACATGGCTACCCTTTGGGCGTCCCCTGGGGCCTAAACTAACCCCGTGCTTACCCTTGTTCGGAAGACGAAATGAGTTCTCATCATCACCGAAAATAAACGTAGCAGCTTTAATCCCAGGCCTGTTTGCAGAGTCCATCAGAGCAAGTTAAACCCTCGCTGCAACCTTGGCTGTCCCTAATCGAATTAATAGCTTTGCACCGTACCTTGCGAGCATCATTCTCAAACATGCCCAAACCAGACAATGGAACGAGGAGCAGGCGATCAATGAAGCAAGGTGCGCTGATCTTTGAGAGTCCACGGCTGAGTCCGGAGAGTTCAGTTGCTGAGAGTCATGGCACTGGAGATTGATTTTAGGCGACATATCTTTGCAAGTCCTCGCAAAGCCGGCATTTCGACCAGGACATGTCAATCCATAAAGTAAGGCGTTGCGCAGATATTGTCGTGCCAGCAGTCATGTCAAGATATGAGCTTATGCAGGATCCCGGGCCATGGCTCACGAGGCTACTCCAGAAGACTTGCGGTCCAAGTGAAGCTTTTGGAGCCTGTTTGCAAGGCCTCCAAGCTTTCAGAAGACGAGCGAGGCTCGAGTGTGCTTGAGGAGTGCATCACTGTCCACGCATCCTACCAAAACAGGCAGTGATTCTGCAAGTTTGTGGCTGCCCTGGTAGAGGAGTGCCGCCAGACTGCGCCAAATGGCTGCTCCAGTGAAGAGGTGGCTTTGCAAAGACAGTGTGCAGTACATGTGGTGTCCAAGCAAAGGAAGCAGACAGCGCTCCATCGCATGGAGATACAGTGACTGGGCCCGATGAGCTGACTTGCTGAGTCCTGATTGCTGAATCGTGTGTTGCCACGGTGTGACAAAGAATGTCTTGAAGTTCGACTTGCGCATCCAATTCGCAACCCTTGGGACAGCAACGTTGAGCTTCAAAAGCGTTCGGGCAGCTGGATGAACTTGGCTGAGGTACCTGCGACCAACATAGAGTTGCAGCTTTCGCCCTTGGTTGCGGAGCCCGACTGTGCATGTTGCATTGTGCTTGGAATAAAAGGGGGCAAACGAAGGCAGACCAGTATCCCTTGCAGGGTTTGATCTTGCACTCAATTTGCGGAAAGTTGAAAGATGGAAACTCGAAGACCTGTGCGCGTGGTGTGAAAATGAGTGTCCTCTAAAAACTACTTGGGTAGCGTTTTCCAAATCACATGGTCAGAGTTTTACATGTGCCTGCCGAACTTCAGTGGATGACATGCTACTTGCATACTGCTTTCACTCTCAAAACAAGCTATTCAGACAGACATTCTTGCAGCAATTAGGTCCTTTTTTGAGGTGACGGCTGATTGCTTCTCCAAAAGTCAGCCGGATTTAGCGATCAAACAAATTGGGCGAAGAAGAAAGCCAATTGTGGGGTTTAGGGCTTCAGAGCTTTTGGGTGTCAGGCTTTTGGGCTTCAGAGATTCTCCATTTTGAACACCTTAAGCGTCAGGGTAAGGAATAAGTGGGCGAAGCAGACTTTATGGTTTTTAAAGTTCAGAGTTTAGGGTCTTCCATTTTGAGAGTCATTTAAGCCACAGGAAAGCATTTTGGCTGAGCATCACTTTGGCGCTTGGAGATGACGAACATTGTTCCGATTTTAAGAGTCTGTACTGCATCGAGACAATTTAACAGGAGAAAACTCCTTGATTTAGGCACCGGTTTCAGGATTCAAACAGCAATCCATGCAGGCAAAAGATACAAAGCAACGACGTCTCAACAAGCAATTTGACGATTTAGCAAGAAAAGCTCCTGTTGGAAACGCGAGCTGTGAATCCAGGATCAAATTTGACTAATATTGTCAGCCAAACAAGTACTGGTCCAAAATCAGGGACAAACACAGCTGACAAGGTGACGCGAACCTGTTTGCATGTCACTATGAGTACGTGCGATTTGTTTGACCATTGTCTCAACATTGGGAAATCTGCATGTTTCCAATTGCAGTGTTTTTATAATCTCGTTGCATGGAAATCCTCGATCCCGGCTTCTCCTGTAATTGTTCCCTACTTTTAATTCGTAAGTAGAGAGTCGATAGTTTTGAGTTGTTTGTTTCCAAGCCTGGAGGAGTCGTACTTGATATATAATTGCTTGATTTTCTTTGTGCTGGAGCTTGCTGCTCGTTTCTTGTTGAGAGTCCACGACTGAGCGTTTACTGTTTAGACGCTTTTCTGTCAAGATCTAGGTCCGCTTTTCTCCGTTTCCTTGTATATACTGGAGTCTTTGCTGTGGATCTTTGCCTGTACGGAATCCTTGCTAAATTTGTTGATCGCTTTGAAGCGTTTTGCTCTGAATCGTGGATCAGGCGCTTTTTTCAATTTGCTTCTTGAGTTGACGGTGTTGACATCCTCCGGCATTATGAGTCGGAATCATGCCCACTTTGGCTTACTTGTCCCGACTGCGCACAGAACGTTTCTAAACAGTTCCGGATGCCTTCCTCCAACTATTCCAGACCGCACCTTCATATTCTTACCGATCAATGATCAGCGAGAGGCATTTGGCACAAGCCGGCCCCGTTTTTCCTGTTGCTTTGCTTTTGTTCCCTCCCAGGACTAGCCCTTCGCCGTTCAGATGACCTGGGAGCAGCAACAGAAGCGGGAAGTCTTTCTCAAACAGCAGGATGATTCAGCTACCATCACGAGATGCAAAGAAGTCCAGGAATGAAGAGAAGGATGAACCTCTACAAGCATTTCTGGAATCCCTCATTGACATTGATATTGCCAGGGGCAACTTCCCCCAGATTCACGCATCCACCTCCAGATGCAACTGCAGGCGATATTGATATTGCAGAAGACCAGAGCATCAAGTTGGTTTCAACAGAACAGCCTTGGACAAAAGCTTTTTCTTCGTGCTCCGGGCAACTGTTGCCCCGCGCAACCATATGATCTCTTTGTCCGCATTTCTTGTTTGGATTCATTATTCAGGGATCCATGACCATTCCTTCCGACCACCACTAAGCAACAAGGGCTCAAGCGCACGTCGCCCAGCCGCGAACGATTCCCAACCTTCAGCTTGGGGAGGGGTTGCCGGGGGATCTTGTGAACACTGTGCAAACGGCGCACCAGGGATGGAGCTGATGAAGCCAAGAACTGAGTAAACCGCCGAGCTGGGCTGCAGCTAGAGGGAGAAGCGCCAGCCACGCGCCCCGTCAGTGTGTGAGTTGGCAAACAACGTTCGCCTGCTCAAATTGAGCCGACGCTTCGCAGAGCCGGGCAAATCGATGAACTTAATCCGCACGACGCAAGCGGCCTGTGGTGAGGCGGAGTCCAAGCTTTTCTTCTCAGGCTCGAGGTCCAGAACCAGAAGCCTTTAAGAGGAGGATGCTTGTTGGCGTTTCCCCAACTCCTACGACGGCCCCACTTCTTTGCCCTCCATTCTCTTGCGGGCTCAGCTGATCAACGAGCGCTAAAGGCGAGCCGACCAACCCTACAGACACCGGCCAAGCCGAGGTACTTGATACAACATTTGCAAATGTGTCATTCTTGCCAGGGAGGATCGCTATGAAGAGGTGCTCCGGCAGTGGCGCAAAGCGTTCGCAGCAAGAACGACTTTTACAGCGCAGCTCATCCACGGCCTTGCCAGGGCGGTCACGGACGGAACTACCAGCTTCCCACACCCCATGCAACCCTCGCCCCGCAGCGTCTTCTTGAGGCGCGACCGGCGCAGCCCTTGAGTCCTCCTTGGGACGGCAGGCGCAGATGCATCACCAAGGCCTTGTGCCTGATGAGTGGGCGCAGGAGCTAATCGCTCCAGACCAACAAGGCTCCAGTAAAATACCTTGGCACACACGCGTCTTCCGTCACTACCTTCCCCGACGCAGGCCATCCTCCGTTCCAGGACGAAATACCTCGGCCGCATCCTACAAGACCCTTCACTCCTCGAACACCAGGCTGTCTTTGGTCCGGCGGCCGGCGCGTGCCTTTAAGCGACTCAAGGCCTACCAAAAGCACATTGGCATGAACTCGCTTGTTTGGACGCGCGGACCAAAGCACACCTGTTAGCGACCCCACGCGAACTCCATTCGTCCACTCCTGGATGGCAATGCGCATTGCCGATTGCTGACACCTGAATACTCCTGAAAAATTGGCCAGATCAAGCTGGTAAAACATTGTATATGCTGGCGTGCCAGGAAGCTGACCCGTGCAATGTTGCGTGCAGCTGTTTTGTTCTTGTATGGTAGCGTTGCGCTCGCCAAGAGAAGCGCCAGTAATTCCAAGCATATGGAAGCGCGTGTCACTGATGTCGATGCCTACGAGACTATGTGACGCCTGCAGGAGCAGCCGCAGAAGAGTTTCGAGCGATACATGAAGCGCGTCCCAGATAATCTAGCTGCTGCTGCAGAGACGAGCTGGGACGGCGCAGTTGCTTGAGTGCCGCGCAAGAGCCATTCGCGGTTGGTCACCTTAAATGGTTTTTGGTGTCTCCCTCGCAGGACAAGATTCAAGCTTGCGCAGCAGAGCAGCCTTTGGGCAGCATCGCTGGGTCCACGGAGGTCATGCCTTATTTTTAAACAATAATAATAAACTCCCCTGTGGCCTGTGGCCTAAGCACAAATCTCGGGAATCCTGAGCTAGAGACGGAATTTTGCTGTGAGTCAGCCAGTCAGTGGAGGTAATGGAGAGTCAGGTGGGGCATTCATTTGGATGGTAAGGTGGGCAAGCTGGAACTTTTCTGGATCCACCAGCCAGGAAAAGTTGCGTACTTTGCACTCTGCAAACTTGGCTTGGCGCAGTTGGCAGGACAGGTTCCTGAGGCGGACACTGTGGATGGCCTTGTGTGCTTTCAGTTTGTTCAAGGCAGGCTTGCGCGACAGAGCTCCTCGACATGGTGCGCTCGAGTCGCAGGACATGCAACGCATTACGCACGCATTGTCCATCTCTCGGTGGCTTCCCCGCAGGCACTATTGACGCCGTGACTTTCCGGTCACTGGTATTGCCATGTTTAGACTATGCAGGTGCTCCAGTCCGCAGTGCTGCACGTGAAGAGGCTGATTTTTGCGACTTTGCCGGTGCACAGCCGCAGGCTTAGGAGGTTTAAGCGCAAGAAGGCAGCCTGAGGAAAGCCTGCAAACCCTTCTGAGACAGGCTTGCGAGCCACCGTGCTTGCTGCTGAAGATGATGACCGTCGTATTTGCATTGATCCGCAGGCTGCGGGCCTGTTTTACATGTCAACCCAAGTATGCTTCTGGGTAGGTGGAGCGTGCCTATCACCAGTGCGGCTTTAGGTGGCTGGCGGCTCAGTTCATGAAGCGCCGGCCAAATGGTTTTGTTTGTGCGGAACCACAAGCTGCAGATGATAGTCTTATGTCACTTGGAGTGCCGATATGCGCTTCATGTCAAGGTTTCAGCTGACCCAAAAGCTGCGGCGGAAAAAGGCAGCGTTCTTGCGTGGAGTGCTCAGAAGGCTGCAGTGCTTCCAATGCTTGTGTGGTCCAGCTCAGGCTATCGCAAGTGCCGATCTTTGAGATTCATGGTTCTTCATTTGCTTGGGCCTTTATGAAGGTTTTGATGGAGGTTGGGTTTCCCTTTGGCTAGGTTTCTCCAAGCATGCAAAAAAGGCAAATCTAAGATGGGCCACACGTGAAGGGTGTCCCTGAACCCTTGCAGTTGTCATTTTTGAAGGGCAACAGTCTCAAAGGCCTCGGACAGACGCTGATTCGCCTGCCCCAAGAGATTTGGTAGGCTGGAAGTTGATAGTTCGCAGCGTTGTGACATGATTAACCATCAACACCCTCTTTGACGGGGAACCGCGCAGGCACAAAGGCTCCGTTGTTGCTGCGAAGCAAGGCGCTTAGGAGATAGGTTCATGGTTTCGTTTGGTGCAGAAATTTACGCAGCTGTCGCTTTGCAAGGTGAGTCAACACAGAACTCTCCAATGCCTGTTTGGTTCTTAGTTTGCAACAATTTGTCTCGGCTTTGTACAAACTGAAGTGGCTGAGGAAGATTCAGCGGATGAGTTGTCCTTCAGCGCCTGGTAATTGAATGTAATTGAGTCTGAAGGGCAACGCAATGCCCTTAGGACTCGTTTGTTGAGCAGACCAAATTGCGCCGAGCATGTTTGCTGTCGTAAGTCAGAGTTGCAGTGGTCTGAGACCAGATGCGCACACGTGACATTTGACGGGCGGCATGTCTCGTGTTTGTAAAACGTCGCCCACTCACGACATGTAGACATGTAACAGCATGCCTTTGAGTGCTGACAGAGGGCTCAAAGGACGCCTGCTTCAAGTTGCCTTGGTGCTAATGCAACCATCGGCTCAAGAATTCGCACGCGCATGTCGAGCATCTTTGCCGGCTTGGCTCACAAGGCGGCAGAGATGGCAACGCCTGCGAGTTGTTCATAAGACATTCCGAGGCTGACGGCAATCGTGCGCAGGCGCAGACTTGGAATGGAACATTAAACTGGCAATTACCCCGGGAAGTCACCCCAAACAGTGGTCAGAAAGCGAGATAGGAACCCGCAGGCGACATGAAAGCCGCCCCAGCATATGCATCTGAAGCTCATATATAGAATCTCCTGTGGAGCCAAGATCTGTTGAGGTGATCTCTACGCAGGACCAGCGCAAGGTACCTGTGGACGAAGATCTCTGCACAAGCTGTTTGGGTAGAATCTCTCTCTCTCTCTATGCCCTCTACAAAAAGTTCTTTTCAAGATCTGCAGGGCTCTGGCAAGGAAATCTTTGCAGGTCCCGTGCAAAACCTCGGCCGTCTTAAGATATTTGCAATAATCTCTACGGGGTCTTTAGGCGAGTTGCACGGGTAGGATCTCCTGGCCAGGATCCCTGAAACGACCCTACAACACCTCTCGAAAGGACTTCTTTGCAGGTTCTGTTGGCAGGATCTCTTCAAGGCTTATGTTAAGAAACCCCGAGTGCCGAGTCTCGGTATTTTTGATGTCCCTATTGCTTGTTGCTTTTGGGCCCCAAAAGTATTTTTTCTTACTTGGGAGCTCTGGCGTGAGCAAGGCAATGCTAGCCAAACATGTATGTTTGGCCCAAGGACGAGCTCATACCCGTTCGTACTGGAACAGGCTGAGCCGCCATAGTGAACTGGGCTTTGAGATAACCGGAGCCTTCAGCTGTCTTACAACGGATTTCCTATCGGATTTCATTCCTTGCGTATTGCAACGAGGAGCTGCGCAACCCTCAATGCTGTGCAAAGGCTTGTCCTCTTGAAAGTTCGCGTCGGGACCCATGAGAGGATCCTCTCTGTATGCAAGGTGTCTTGCAGGAGTATCTTTGCAGGTCCGGTGCTTCGATGTTCGAAATTTGCACTGCGCCGTAGCCACCGAAAGTCCGCAGAGCAGAATTCCGTTCCGCAACGAGACCGACCCGACCCGCCCGAAATCTGAGGGTTTGCTTTTGAAGTTGGTAATTTTCACCGGCGCGACGCGAGTGCGATCCGGCCCGCCACAGCCCAAAGCCCTTAACAAACCAACCACCGTTTTGTTTTTTATTCGCACGGCAGCGACGAGAGCGCACCTCGAAGGACGGCAAATTCGTCCCAGCGCTTTGTGCGAGCCTGCGCAGTTGAAATGTACGTGAACATCTTACAAGGGAAGTTTTGCTCGAGCCTGCGCAGCCGAAAAATGCCGCCCAAAAAGAGCACCCTGATCTTGCCTGGTTTTTGCTCTTACTGTAAAAAGACCCTCCTTGTAGACACGCTGCCTGGGGAAAGATGTAGATTCGGCTGAGCTGGAAGGCTCCGATGATGACTGTCGGGAGCATCGGCCCGCCGGAGGCCGCCAAGTTTCGCATCGAATTGGGCAGGAGTTGAGGTCTGGTGTTCAAGGTCTGTGTGGCCCTGGTTACGAACAACGCGTGAAGGCTTCTTTCGAGGGATAGTGTGTTTTGGAGAGACACGGGACTCAGAATCGTTTGTTGCAAATCACCGTTCAGAAATCATTGCGGCTGGGGCGGTTGCTTAACGCGGCTCCAACACGACTCGTCCAAACTGGACCACAGAAGGGTTCTCATGGATAATGCGGCCAGAAGAAAACGCTGTCGAGTCTCCGCGGGCGAAGACAGGTAGGCAACAGGGAGGATCGTTTTGAGTATGGTGTCCTAGCGTGAGGGTTCATCCGTTGCGGTCGGGGAAAAAAGGCTTCTAAGATTACCGCCAGAAGCGCGTACAGCTTGACTCCCGGAACTGACTGTCCAACCAGTTTATTTGTCCAGATGCCCGATTTGTCCGATGGATCCATTGCTCCGCAGGATCACACTGGATGACTTGGGGTCGACCGCGTGTTTTGGCATCCCCACGGACGCACTCCAGGAATTGTTCAGAGCATTGCAATAGCTGTCCTTGCGAGGTCTCCTTCGAGCTATTATCACCTCATCCCGAGGCAGGAAGATGACAGGGTTGTAAAGCCGAGTTAAAAAGTAGCGGGCGGGTTGGCGGAGTCGAAAAAGTGATGATTCAAATAGGGGTGCAAGTAAATCTCTTTAAAAAGTCTAAGAAGTAGCGGGGGGGGGGGGGGGGGGGCCCCCCCATGATCATCGAAAAAGTGATGATTCAATTAGGGGTGCAATGATTCAAGAAAGGGTGCGATAGAAAATAGAAAGCAGCGGCTGCTTTTTGACATGGCCTTGAACCGTAGAATCCATGGATGGGACGTTAGGTCTTGAGATGAATGAATTGGCAAGCAGCTTCTCATCAGCCATTTGGCGGGACAGGCTGGGTGTGGAAGAGTTGGCTGTGACATTGACTAGGCTAAGCTCTTGCAGAGGAAGGCTTCGCTGAAGCGCCCTCAGACTCGGCAACAACAGAGAGACAGAGGAAGTGAGTGACCAAGAGATAGCTGTCTCATGCTTGTCCTTCCTTCCCCAGCCCTTGACAAAGAGAATGTGGGCTGGGATGAAGGTGAAGGAAGGATATGTGGTCACTCGTGGTCCTCCGTCAGCGGTCAGACCCTTGAGTGAAGAGTGGCTATCGTTTTCCCTTCTATCTACTTCCTTATTCATGGTCAACCGCTAATAACCGGCCAAGCCTCTCCAGTTATCTCTTTATCATTACCAACTTACCCATTCCTCACTTCACAGAGATAATTGGAGGACGCCTCAAGCAACGTCTAAGATCAGAGGCCCTAGCTGCAATGAGGTCTGCGTACAAGGGCAAGCCCACTGTCGTCCACTTCTACACCTCCTGAGGCTGCAGTCTTTGTGGGTCAAGCTCAACAGGTGACAGAGGTGACCGTAGTGCCAAAATGGAAGCCAGGTGAGCCCTGCAGCATGTGGGACATTTACATTCTTTCTGGGCTACTTGCTTGTTGGGATTCCTTGTGCTGCTGCTCCGTGCGCGAAGAGATCTTGCGGCTTTCATGATTGCTTTCATGTGTAGAGAGCAATGCTAGGTGGATGTTGGCCCTGTGCAGAGCAGATGAACTCATGGGCTGTGGGGATCTCAGGCCTGGCTAGCGTGAAAATCAGTGGTGCACCATTGAGCTTAGGGTCAAAACAGTGTTGAGCGTTGCACTTGGTCGCCCTGAGCAAGATGCTGAGCGACCGCTCTAACGTCGCGCATCTTTATTTGCATTTTCCTTTGTTGCTTGTGGCCGTTCCTGCCGTCACAAGGCTGGGGCCACCTATGACTGTAACTTTCTTTGTGTTTGCGTCCAGGCCTTAGAGTGTCGCAACTGCCTGAGGTTTTTGGGCTGGGCCCGAAACCCATGAGACGATTGATATCCATGTAGACTTGAAGTGCTGCCTTGGTTTCAACCTAGCTTCCTTCTCTGCTCTAGAGATCACGTTGTTTGCCGATTGTGCATTGAGCAGACCGTACGTCTTTCCTGGTCCCTCTACCTTTTGTGTCGGCAGCTGCGGTGTTCATCGATGCACGTGGTGTTCTGTTTTGGAGAATGTCCATAGCTTGCCAGCCCGTTGAAAATGCTTTTGCGTCGCAGTGGCTTACATGGCCAACGAGATCCTTCCCCTTTTTTGGTGGAACAGATGGCCAAGCAAAGGAGGCAGAAGGAAGAGAAGATTGCTTGCGTTTTCAATCGGGTTTGGTTGGCCATGGGTCGGCTCCTCACCCTGGAATCCTGGCTTGCTTTTTGGCTACTCACGAGCATGTGCTTTGTTGCAATGTGCTCAGCATGTGCCTTGTTGCAAGTTCGTCAGTTGATCCCTGGCCCCTTTGGGCCAACCACGGCGGTCCCACCTCCTCCTCTTTTGGATGGTGCGTCGCGTGGGGAGTTCCTGGAATCAAACGGGACTCTTTTGTTGCATGAGGGAGACTGTTGAAGTCCCTCATACAAGCCTCAGTTGCCGGGAACCGTGGATGCCAAGAGTGACCTGATGCCTGCATCACGCCTACTGAGATGCAAGATGAAACCAGATTTGGGCATTTTGGTTTGTGCCGGTTGTCCTTTCCCTCCTGCCCTGGCTCCCTTGGCGTTTCAAGCTCCTTTCTTCAGCTCTGGTGTGTAAACGGCCGCATTTGTTCCAACTTGTGCCCGTGCATGAGCTTTGACATTGAGCTGCTCGAGCTTGAAGCTCAAGTCCGGAGAAAAATCCCAGAACAGCGCGCTCATATAATAAATATAGATTCAACCAGGCAAATTGCAAATTGCTCTTTAAATTGCGAGGTCTTGGGCGATCGCACTGCCTACGGCCTGTGCAAGGTGGGATTGAGTTTTTGGCTACGTGCAAGGAAGACGCGCCTCACTCCGCGTTGCAACACGCAGTGTATTTTTGGTGATTGGATTCTGTAAGACAGTCCTTGATCGAAGCTTACACAGGAAATGAGTCACCAGATGAAGCTGACGCATTGTGCTCTCACCTTAGTTCTGCTGAATGTGATTAGTTGTGTTGCTTGTTGGCGTTATTATACAAGGTGCTGGGGCCGTTTGTAAGGATGAGTTGTTTCGGGCATGATTGGTAGTTCGTGTTTCAAGGCCTGGTAGCAATACCCCTATTGATATTCTCAACACGAGGTTTGCACGTTACCCCATCCTGCAGCCAGTGGCAACATGGGAAACACTGACCTCGGAGCACGCGACACTCGCTAAGTCTTCTCTCTATGACCATGCGAGACACTTTTGATCATTGAAGCTTGGTTGTACGGTTGTCTTTTGATCACAATGCCCGTTCTTTGACACTTTCGTCAAAGTCCATGGAAATGAACGGTCCCAGGTCAACGGCTTTGTGGCATCACCAAGTGACATGCCAACGTGCGCCCTGAGTCTAGGGATGTCAAACCCCGGGAGCGCCATCAAGTGCAGGATAAATGTCCCGATTGCACTAAGGGGCTTCGCACCGCGTGTTTCAGAACCCCCTAGGTTCCAGTAAGTAGAGGGGACGTGTCTGAACGGAACAACTGCTGTATATCCGCTCACATCCAAAAGAGGGTCTGCTCGTTCAGGACGGCAAGTCATCTTGAGGACAAAAAGATCGTTCTCAGGACCATGCAAAGGTTGGAGAAGGTGAATTCAACAAACATGTAGGAATAAATGGACCAGCTGTGAGAAGGGCTCAGCCTGATTGCACCGAGGTTTTAAACCGAAGGCGCTTCGCAGGTCGGGTTGTAGTACTACTTGCTGCTTGATCAAGAGGATCCAAAGATTGGTTCATCTGCTGCACCCAATCCGGCGGTGCAGGTGGCGGGTCTACTGAAATACATTTGGAATTGGGCAAATTGTTGTGCCTGTACTGCCATGCAAATGAACGGCCACATTTCCGGCACCACAAACGGCCAAAGGTGCTTGGATCGTCTGCTTGTTTGCCCAATTTTCGATTCCAAACTAATTGGTGCTTTGCTTGCGATTGTAAACATGGCGCAGCTTTGTCTCAAGTTCATCTAAGCGAGCCTTGCATCTTTCCAGGTGTATCCATCCAAGAACTCGGTGGCTTGTTGGGGTATGGGCAGGGTTTGCTCAAAATTCGCGTTCTCAAATGCTCAAGGCGAGCGGTCTGCTTTCCACACTTCACGCAGAAAGCGCCTGTGTCAAAATGTCGGATGCGGTGACCTCTCTGTTCTCTGTCACTCGGTGGAGGATCTTGAGACTGTCCAGCAGCGAGTGTTGTGTCTGAGTGACTAGTGTCTGGAGCGTCATCGTCTTGATCTTCATCAACGTCTGCATCATACCACTCTGTGATATGCTTTTGCCATATGTCAATAAGCACTGTTTGTATGGTTCGAATTTGCTGTGGCTGAAAAGACATGGTAGTGGTGGGCAAGACTGCATATTGAAAGCAAGCTGGCGTCTGCAAAATGCGTCTGAGAAGGAGCCGAATGGGGGCTCGCAGCGCTGCATATTTTTTGCAATGCCAGTGAATGTGCTCGACTTCATTGGGAGCTCCACAGACCGGGCAATCCACGCTTTGCCGAAATCTGTGTTGCGGGAGGGCGACATCAATCCACCCGTGAGGATATAGATCAAGATTTTGCTGCGTGGTCGAGGGTCTTTTTGTGGATGAGGGCCGGCCAGGCCATTGTCCAGCAAGTGCTGATACTCGTCAGCCTGAGTGTGGAGATCGTTCAAAGCGTTAAGGCCAGTTCCCGGTCAACTTGCGCAATGTCGTGAAAAGTAGGTCGATTTCGGGAAATGATGTGCCATTGATGCGCTCGCCAGGTCTCACGAAGAGAATGTTCCCATGAACGATCTGATGGGTCTCCATGCAGAATGCTTTGCAGAGCCGCAGTGTAAATCGGGTCGCTGTGCAATTGCTGCGCCCGTCGCAAGGGGCCTTTTTGCTGAAGGAAGGCCCTCTGCAAATTGTGCAAAATAAAGTTGCGCTGTGCGTTCCGCTTGCAAAATCTCTGCAATGCCCGCAGAGATAACAAGTTTAAGGCAAAAATCGGCGCTAAAGAGGGTTGCGCAATGACAGTAAACAGAATCATGGGCGCAAGGCTGTAGTAGCTGATCCTAAGGAGTGCCCTGGTCATGGTTGCCCGCACCGTCGTGATGCGTGACTTGGGGATCTCCAAGTCATGCGTGCCTTGTCCCCAAGTGAGCTTGCTCAAAAGCTGTTGTTGGGCCAGCGCACGGGCTTTCCAAACTAAAGGCAAGAGACTGCGTGTTTGGGCTGACAACATCCAGTCCTCGACTCGTTTCTGAAATAAGGGCGTCCAAGAACTAGTGGAACCGCAGGCTATGCTTCCTCCAACCAATCTAAATGCTTCTTTGTGATTATTAGTGTCTGGAACAGATTGCAGCGCTTGCTGGTCTCCGTAGGTGAAGCACTTTTCAGGGTTGAGCCGCCCCCCAGTAAGAGTGGCAAAGCGTTGCACCGCCAGGTGCGTTGCTTGCAAAGATGCACGCAGCTGTTGGGCATCTTGGGCGGTCACGGTGGCGCTAATATCGTCGACATAAACTCTGGGCTGCACGAGCGCATGAACAATACCAATCTGATTTTTGTTGAGGGTTTCAAGCCAGCAGGCAATGAGACTAGCCAAAAGGAAATTGCTCAAAGGGTCGCCTTGGATAATGCCGTTTGACGGCTTGTAAGCTCTGCTGAAAGCCGGTCCGAGTTTGAAATGCTTGTCATCGGCCTGATACAAACCTCGGAGGCCTTGAATCGCACACAGTTAAAGGAGCTCCTCGGTAAAGCAAAACGCTAATGGCCATGCTAGGTATAATATGATCAAAACATTTAGCAAAATCATAGGAGAGTCCTCCGCTCCAGGCATCAGTTGTCTCCGCTTGTTCCAGCAAGTAGGTGATGTTCATGGCCATGTCGTCTGCCTCTTTGCCAGAGCGAAGGGCACACACACTTCTTCGGGAAGGACTCTGAGGATCCACGGCTTCACGTGCCTGCATCGGGTACGACTCCAACATCTGCACAGCGCGCTCAACACTGTAATTGGTCTGGTGTCCATAGGGTCATCGAGGTGCCCTTCAGAACTCAGCGTTTATGGAATCATTGCAACGTAGCCAGTGGTCCATGAGGTAGGCCAAAGGGAAGCGGTTTCACAGGCATTGATAAGTGAAGCTAAATGTCGAAAAATGCTGGGACAAATGCGGCCGAGGAGTCGCAAGTCTTGGGGGCGCCAACCATCTAGGCCAGGCGCACTTGGTGTGAGTTGTCGCACTGTTTGCAACAAATCATGTTCCGAAATTGGTTGCAGGTCAAATTGCTCTCTGCGCATTACCGGGCCATATTCTTGCAAAAACTCCCACGTGCTAGGAGTGCCGTCCAAATACTTTGTCCCACGCCGTCATGAGAGCTGCCAGCTGACGAGCAGGATCTACTGTGTAACGGCCGTTCACTTTCACAGCAATGCAAGCGTAATGCTTTTGATGTTGAAGAATCGGTTTTTCCTTGGTCGCTTGTCGCAGCTTGCGCCAGGCCAACGCTTTGGTGGCACTACTCCTCATTTGCTGTTTCCAGAGTTTGAGTCGATGTTGGCGTTGTTCAGCCTGCACAAAATCCATGGCCTTCTGCAAAATCTGAGCAACTGCCTCGGCATTGGCTATGCTTGGAGGCCGACGTAAAAGAGCTGCAATTTCTTTTCTCCATTGAGAAGGGCAAGCTTGTAATGCTTCTGACAAATTGCGCCATGCGCGCAGCAATCTCGGGCTTGGCTGAGCTTTGCAAACTTCTATGGCTCGCCGGTATGCTTTGCCCAGGCGACGTAACTGCAAACAGTTGGCATGTGCCTGGAAAACGCGAGGAAGCTGTCGAGTGGCATCCAATTGAATTTTGCCACGAGGTTGCCCTTTACGAGGAAGGTTTCCACATTGAAATTGGTGTAATTGAACAAGAATTGCTTCTGCTTGTCTGGACCAAATTGCTGCTGCTTTGTTGACGTCTTGAATATTCAACGCAGAATAAGACTCATCGGGCATGTAAAAGTCAATGGCTTGTTCAGGAGTGGTCAAATGGTCGAAACTGTATGACTGACGCGGGGCTAAGCGTTCCACTGATTGCTGCTGGTTCCAAAAGCCTAGCTCCAGAATGGCGTGGGCGTGGACATGGTCGGTAAAAGGGTTGGTCTGTATTCCAAAATGGCAACTTACCGGCAAACAAGAGTCAGAACACCAAATGTGATCGATGCGCGATCCAGAACCTTTGTGACATGTAAAAGGAGGGGACCCGTCATGCAAGACTGCCATGTCATTCCATTGTGTACTGATAAGAGTTTGCAAAAAGGTTGTACCCTCAATTTCAGCGTTCAGATCACCAACCAGAATGGTTGGTAGGGCGCGCCTGCCTGCGTCACCTGAAACTGCGTATAGCAAATTCCGCAATAAACGCCTTGCAGCAGCGGTCTCTCGAGCTCCAGCTGGACCGTAAATATTGTATAATATCAGGGCACTGCCATCCTGCCGATGAATCTGAATGGCTTGTAATCGCCCATCTCTCCAAAATGGAAAACAAGGATCCTCCGAAGGCCACACGTTGGGTGTGACATGTGCAAATTTAGAAGGATTAACTACAATGCCAACCCCCCCCAAAGGCAATGAAGGGATGTAGAGCTGGTCATCACCTGTTGCCAAGTAAGGTGCGTCTCTTGGAGACACAAAATGTCATACTCGTAGCTTAACAAAGTTGTCCATCTGCCCATCTTGGTGAGGCCGTCCGCATTGAACAAGGCCAGCCAACAAATGGATGAAGAAGAAGCATTTCGCTGGAGCGGTTTGCACAAACTACGCCTGCCCAACATCGCTTCACGAGTGTTGGGATGATCGAATCGTCCAGTGACTGTTTACGGCTGAGGGTTTTCGACCCGCGGCCGCTGAGCATCGGGTGTTTCTCCAGTTTTCGTTTTGTGCTGAGGGGTAACTCTGTCGAAAAAGGCTTTTTGCGATTTGCCCAGAGCACTGATGTTGGAAATCTGAAGGTCATCAGTCTGCGTCGGGGCGGAAGCTGTAGCTCGCTTCGTGGCTGCCAATTTCCTGGCCACTGCATTGATCGCTTTGAACTGGATCTGAGACGCATGACCATTGGAAGCCTGAACTTGCAGAGGATCTGTCCGAACACAAGCCGCTCAACCACATGTGTCGACCAATCCTGGTCCACCAAGAACTGCATGGCACCTGGAATGCCCGCTGCGATTGGAAGACCATATACCTGCCAACGACCCAAATCCGAAGTGTCCTCCAACTTGTGTTTGGCGCATAAGGCCTGAGCATTCGACTGGGTAGCAAATCTGGCCGCAAAGCGATGCGGCGCCGATTTTCTTTTGCAAACCAGCCCAAGGTGCTCCAACCCTTCAAGCCCTCTGCGGCCATCGTCCAAGGCAGTGTGGTCAGGAAGCCAAACCAAAAAGTGATCGGCCATAGCAAAATCGGCCTGACTATCAAGGTGCACTTTGAAGAAAGAGCCTTCGGCGCCACTGATCTGCAAATCTTTCTGGGCCACGTGAGAATGCAACCAAAATGTTGACGAAATGTCAGCTCGGACTTGGACCTCCGTGATGGCCACCAATGGGATGTCGTGCTTTTGGAGCACATTGGTGACATTCGAAGCTCGCGCTTGTGAAGGCCAACCAAACTCTTCCGGCTGCTTGCAAACCCTACGCACCATCGACTGGGCAATGGTGACTGTGGGCCCTTGTGCAATTCGCAAAACCTGGGAAGTGAATCCGAGTTGCACGCACCATCTTGTGAGCCGAATCTGTTTGAGTTCCGGGCCTTCCCGCACATGCACCGTGAACTCAACTTGAGAATGCGGATAAGAGCCCAAACCAAGTGTAGAAGGTGCCTGTGTGATAAGCATAACAAGCCGGCGGCAATCGATTCCTTTGGGACGAGGCTAGCACCTCCTCTGGCCGACAACTGAGGGTGGGCCATGACAGGAGCGTTCCATTCGCTTGCCACCAACTGTGGCAATTTTCGCAGCTTCGCCTCCGGTGGCATGGCATCTTGGATGGCTTGCAGCAAAGTGAAATCCTCCGATTCCTCAAGGCCACCCATCCAACTATTGGCTGTGATTGCGCTAACGAAGGGAGCTGGAGTGCTGATATCCGAAGAAGAGTAGCCACTTTTACCTTCACTGCAAGGGGCTTTGTTCTTGCCTTTGCCCTTGAGTCCGCTTTCGACCACCGTTGCCGTTCATGGCGTGTGCCAACTGGTTTCGTGTCTGGGCACAGTCACGGAAAGAAAAACGTAAAGCAAGCCTGTGAACACATCTGTGAACCTGAATTCTGTCGTGAAACATTGCATGGTGTCATCCTGAGAGATTGTAATTTTGCTGCTGGAGCATTGCGAACACTGTCGCGTCCCAGAATGCAACGTCACCCCCTGTATGTTCGCGGTTGCATTCTGCTTTGACGCAAGGGACCCCCTAGGTTCCAGTAACGCCGCGGGTTGCCTGCGTGCGCTTTTTGCTTTGGTTGCTTGTTGCTGCCTGCGCTTGCGTTGGATGTTCTTACTTCGAAGTTGAGCAAGCGTGACGCACCTACTAGCAGGCGCAACATTGTCTTACATAGATGTATTGATCTTGCTCTACATGCCGCCCTGTTGCGCAATGTCATGCGCCAATCAGAAGTAACGGGTGGCGGTTCAAGGGTGCTGTCAAACTACATGTGCCGTTGCATGTGTCGTGCCTTTCTACATGCTTGGCACTGCTCGCGGCGCTTTAGCATCAACGATGCCACGCTAGTAGGCATAGGAGTTGTACATCTGTTTGGCCGCAAAAAAGAAACGTGACAGCGAGAAGGAAAGAGAAAGGGAAATAACAACAAGGAGCAAGAAGGCCACATGGGGAAACGTAGGGACAAATATGCGAAACTAAGGAAACAAAAAGAAATGAATAAAGGAACAAAAAGCAGAAAGAAAGAAAGAAAGAAAGACAATAAATAAAGAGATATCGACAAATCAAAGCAAGAAAGGAAGCAAGAAAGCAAGAAAGAACGAAACAAAGAAAGAAAGAAGGCAAAAGAAGAACATAAAATAGAATAAATGAATCAATAAATGAATAAATGAATAAAGTAAGACGGAAGGAAAGAAGGAACCTAATGAAGAAGTACGGAAATACATAGATACATAAATACAGAAAGAGAGAAAGCGAGACAGAGAGCAAGAGAGAAAGTGAGAAAGCAAAGAAGCGAACAAGCGACAAGAGGGGTGCAGCGCGTTCCATTCGGTGTATTGTAGCCAGCTTACATGGCCTCGCGAGACTGCAAACCTTGTCCTGAAGCGGGGCTTGTTTTCATTCTGCACTGTGCCACCCACCAAATGGACCCTTGTTAATACCACGGATTTACTCTTGGTCTTCCCGGTGTATGTGGCTGGTCAAGCATGTGCGCGCCAATCCCGAGGTATGGGCAGCTCGGCTGCCAAGGTTTCATTGTTTTGGACAAAGAGCCCCAGCCTCACCACGTTGAATGTCGCTCACACCCTTGCAGCGGTGTTGCTGTTTTGTGTGGGTTGAGCTGCGATGCTGGTTGGCAGCAGCATCCTAAGGCACAGAGTGGTTTGTGAGGGCACAACACCGTTTATGCAGGCACCGAGCCGCGGCGACATGCCTAGAGAGAACTTGACTAAGATTGATAGGCTCGCAGCCTCGCGTTCCAGCATGTCGAGGAGGGGATACCAGCAAGAAGGGCGCCAGCCAGCACTTGAATGAATTCTCTCATCGAAGCATCCGACATGCGAGCTGGCATTGATATTCCAGACATGTGATAGAAAACCAGGACTTACTGGATGCTTTATGCAACAATGCTCCCTTGCCGGATATTTGCCGTGGGCTTACAAGGACGTCACTCATTGAGTTCATTTGCGCGCGGTTCCTGGAAGCAGTGCCCAACGTACCAGCAACTGACCATGATGCGCTGCACAACCTTTCCTTGTTGTGGCTCGTTTTTGATTCCAACCCCAAACCTAAACCCCAAACCACCCTAAACCAACCTGAACCAGCCTAAGCCCACCCAAAACGACTTTTTCGAGGTCGGGGCATTGCCACCGTTTTGTATGGCTGGCCTGGGCGGGGTTGGCAAGTTTGAAAAACGCTCCTAGGCAGCTCAAGAACGTTTCACGCTGTCTTCACGAGCTCTAATCGCTCCGTGTCACTGTCTAGGCAGTTTCACACTGCACTCATGTGTTCCGAGCCTGCCACAAGTGGCCATTCACCAGACCCATCGCCATGACTTTGGCTGTTGACTTGCTGTCAAGAGCTTGAGCGCCACAAACAAGAATCCGCCCACAGTCTTTGTCCACCACGACTGAACATGCGGCGCGCTGCGCCTTGATTTGCTTCCCCACCGGAAGCTTGGCAGCAGTACTCAGCACCCCAAACCTTTAGACCTGTTGCAAAACAGGTCTGCGCGCGCTTGCGAATTACATTCATCCTGCTGCCGTCTCCGGCCGTCGCTGTGGGCGGCGACGTCATTCCTTCCCGCCCACCTCCGCACTGCGTCATTCAACCTGTTGCGAAGTCGCTATTGCAAACATGGCAGGTGCGCGGTCTCCAACAGGCCATGTCACCAAAAAGGCAAGTGTCACCCAAAGCAGGAATAAACCCAGCCTGAGTTGAGTGCATGTGCTCGAAAATCAGCCGGAACCGGTGTTTGAAATTGACCCTCCTTGTAAGGGCATCAAAAGATAGCAGAGGTCGAGGGGAGATGGCTGAGATCGCCTCGGGGGACCTACAGGGTGCGAGGCGCGGAGTTGACAATCTTGCGCGATCCTTTTCAGCCATGGCGGGCTCGTGCGCGCACAGACCTTGTTGCAGGGGTATTTGCATGCAAGTAAACGAGGACAAGGCGCGGCTGGGGCCTGAGGCACCTCATGCCAGGCTCACTACGAGAACTTTTCTTGTTCCTCTCGCCTTGCTTTGACAAGCGCGTTGCAGGCTTGCAAGCCTGCAGCACAGGAGGTTACCCTCGTACAGCGCAGTCCGTCAACCTTTTGCTGCTGCTAGGCTTAGGCAAATCGTGGCAAATATTGTGGATCTCTTTGAATGAATGGCAAAAGGTCAATGCAAAGCTTGGTGATGGGCAAGGCAACGCTTAAAAGAAACCGTACGTGTAGTTAGTCCTTTCATTTTAACTGTTTGGACACGTTTTTGCGCCGGGGCAAGAGCCACCCAATTGAACAAGCCTGCTACCATTTTCTGATTATAGCCTTTTCAGGCTTGTTCTGTTGTTTTCGGGGTCTACGAGGCAAGATCTCGTTGTGAAAGCGATCGTGGCTTTCGGGCAAGACTCCGTGGTGCTTCGATTGCGCGTCAGGTTGACTTCGGCTTTCTGGCGCGGCCAGAGAGTCGCGTGCCGCGTGTGTCGCCTGTGCCTGTGCCGCCTGTGCCGCCTGTGCCGCCTGTGCCGCCTGTGCCGCCTGTGCCGCCCGCACTGCCTAACGCCAGGACGGCGCCCTGCAGGGGCGGAGGATGACTCTGGAGAAGTCCATGGCTCGTGCCCCAGACGTTTGCGTGCTGGAATGTGTTCCGATAGAGGGGCCCAGCAATGTCGGCTTTTTCTTTGCATGTCATGCAGCCATTGCTTGTTGCTAGGTAAGGCGGTTGAGCCCAGATGAAGAAGATGGAGCCACTGACGTTGCTGGCAATTGCGCTGATGGCTGCAAGGAGCCATGCGTTGCCAGTTCCGAGACTTCAGCCTGAGTGTTCTTGCCCGCAGCACACAATCCTTTGCAAGCTTTGCTCGGGCTAAGTTGTCCAAACGGCATGCCTTGGCTTGAACGGATGGGCTATGCGTAGCACACATCCAGTTGTCACAAATCTAGCTGATTTGGCACCTGGATGGGGCAGGCCTCAAGAAAAGGTTAGAGACAAACCGGATGGTCTCCGCGCGTATTTTGTTCTCAAGAACAAACGACGAAGGCCCAAAGCATTGGCAAGGATCGCACTGGATGCCGTGCTATCGTAAGAACAGGTCTGACACTCGCCATGTGCAAGCTCTAGCGAAGGGATTCCTTGTTTTTTGCTATTACTATCGCATGATATTACTTTTGCTATTACTATTTTGCTACTACTATTAGCAAGCCTGTTTTCCTTCTGGATTGGCGCATCAACTTGGGAAATGTGCAAGCTTCAGTGGCAAACCCTGCGGTTTCTTTGCCCTTTCTTCCTTGAAGATATTGCACCACTGCAGAGCTTAATTTCAATTCATGTTCTCGTTTGGCTTATGCTTCGAAGGACACATGTGCCGGTGGCAGCTGTGCCAGTGGACTCAAGCCAACAGGACAGCCTGGGTCGAACTTTTAGCACATTGAGCTTGACTTGGGAGTTGTCTTAAGAAAGGATGTGGTTGTGACCCGAGCACATGCGACGCAACCGACAAACCGGAGCAGCGCCCTCAGTGATGAATTCCGTGTTCAGCGCTCGGAGCTGTGTGAAAGTGAGAGCCAGCGATATTTTGAAGCGCCGGAAAGGTGCGAGGTTGACGCGGGCTTTGTAAACCAAGTCCTGGACGTAGCCAGCGTGAAGGTGCGACAAAAGTGTGATGCTGTGTTGGACGTCGGGTCGTGCCGTCAGGTAGGCTGGCAGCTGGCAGACAAAATGAATGTTGGCAGTTGACGTGCAAGAGCCATTGACCCCAACACTTGAGCCAGATGGTGCAAAGGTGCCTTCTATGGACGCCGACCATGCGGACTGTGCAAACGCCTTGCGAAGTCTTGCAAACAAGAGGCCACGGGATCATGCAGATGTCGACTTGCGTGACCAAAGCGGCTCTCCTTCAATGCTTTTCTGAGCTTCAACGCTCACTACTTTGAGTGCTCAGATCACGATAGAAGATTGGTACCTCGCATCAGCATGCTTAAGCGCAGCCAAGCCATTTTTACAAGGAATACAATGTGTACAAGGTGTTTTTGAGGGGCGCCAATTTGTAGCCTGGCGTGGCCCGCCATATGCGCTGTGAAGATCTCGGAGCAGTTGGGGTAACTGGGCGCCAGGTCGAAGGAGTCGTTGGAGGCACGGATTGGTCCGGCCGATAAATTTCAGCGCGAATGGAGGCTGCCAGGGCAGAAGGTGATTGGGTGAGTGGGTGGGGCGCCGGCCCAGCCAGGATGTGCTGCAGTGTCTTTCAGGCCACTTCGCGCATGAGGAGGGGGAAGAGATTGGAGGATGCTTAGATATTCAATCAGAGGTATCAAGTGAACTGTTGATTCACTTTGAGCGCCACGCTTTTGTGCCTATGCAAAATGAATCAGCCGAATCAGTCATCTTGTTTGGCGAGGGGCCCCTGTGAGCGGCCCGCGCCAGGAACAGCTCTTCGAGCAGTTCGGCTTTGGGGTTCACGTGAACGTGTGCGACCCAGGCAATTTGTGGTGAAGGCCGCAATTCTTCTAATTTGTTTTGATGTGCAATCGCGTTGCTGTTTCTGCCAGCGTGCGAGCAATCGGGCACCTGTGCCGAGGAGAAGCTATCCGCCAAAAAGAGTCATGAGGATGAGCACCGCCGCTTGCTGGACAAGGCCGTGCAACAGCCAGTCTCGAATGGCACTCGTAGAGGGCCGCCGTGCAGGTCCGCAGGCAGTTGGCGGCAACAACAGTGCCTGTCAGCTTTGTGAGGGAGCTCCTTCAGGAGACGCCGACCAGGTTTTTGCAGCTTTGCGCCGAGTCATGTTTCCAACTCAGCATTCCAGCTCAGCATATTTCCCTTTGTTCCAGCTCAGCGTTTCCATTGTCTAACTTGGCGTGCAAGCATGCGTTGCGAGCTGTAGTTGGGAACCTTGGCTGGTGTTTGGTCACTTGGGCTTGTGGGAACATTAGTTGAAAACTGACAGTTGAACCCGAGTGACGTGGGTCACTTCGGTCAACTTGGGTCACTCGGACCACTTGAGCTGCTGCCTGCTGCTGCTTGTGCTGCCCAGCTATTCAGGCAGGCGCGGCAGCCGGACAAAACTTGCATCCACAGGCCTTTTCTGGACGCAGACAAAGTCTGTATCCCCAAGTCCTTTTCTGGATGCAGTGCTCAGTCTGGGGGCTTGGGACTGACTTGGGTCTCTTGGGTCACTTGTACTCCGACTGCCGCTTTGGTCACTTGGGTCACTGGCATTGTGGGGGCCACCAAGCGACAGTGCATATTTGCAAGTCCTTTCTTGAGCGGCTGTTGTGGACGTGTGGGGACCAGGTCCGGATTCCTGCTGAGACACAGACCTCGCTGCCGTACTAGCAGTAATAGCGTTGTCGTGTTTAACAGTTGTGTTATGAGTTGCAGCTTTGAGCTATGACCCTTGTTTTGAGCCGGCTTGTTTTGGAAAACGAAACTAACCAATGACGGAAGTGAAGCCACAGCAGGCATGATATGCCAATTCTGGCGAAAAGGGTGTTTTTACACCCACTCCTCTCCCAATTTCCTTTTCGCTGCACGTCCAAGAGCGCCCTATCCACATCCTGCTTTGTCAAGCATGAGTTTTTGCGTCTTTGCTGCTCACCTGATTGATGTTGGTTGTCCCGACCGCTGTGGAGCGCAGTGGGAAATGGCAGGATGCACGTTGCGCTCTGTAGGTTGAAGGTCTGGTCAGTCAGAGCAGTTTGTTGGAGTCTGTGTGCTCAAGGCAGAAAGGCCTTTGTCTCCGACGAGGGCTTGGGGATACAGAGGCTCTCTCCGCTGCTGCCACCAAGGCTGATGCGGCAGCTGCGTAGTCTGCGCGTTCTGCTCTCCATCCTCCGCGTGAGATTCGGCAGCAAGGGCCGACGTATGTCCAGCATTGTCCTTGTGCGTCGAGCGCAGGCGGGAGGGTTGTTCGCTGGCGCTCGTTGCGTGCGCCGTGACACGCCCAAGTTGCGTAGCACTGTAGCTGGCACGAAACTGAGCCAGCGCGATCGCGGGTTTCTGCGCAACGGGCGAAGAGGCGCGGGCTCAGCGCAAATCTGCCAACGAACGTTCTGGGCGTCACGTGTTGGACGTTGAGTGAAGACAAGGTGTGTGTCAAATCGCGCTGCGCTTGATCTGGGTCAAGGGCTCGTGGGGCTTTTACCGCCAAACCTGCGGCGCCCAGAGGCTTGGAACGTGAACGGGCCGGGAGTGTCACATGACCTGTTCCAAGCTCTGTCCAGCGGCTTCTTGGTGTCAGTTTCGCGTAATTGCGTGTTCTTTGTGCGCTTTCCGTGGTGTTTGGACGAGACGCTTAACGGACGCACGAAAGCATTGCTATCTGGAAGCAAAGCTCTGACCGCATTTATTTGTGTTTGCGAAACAGCTTGCTTGGCTGAATACGGGGCACGCTGTGTTGCTGATCCCTTCAGCGCCTGAGCGCGGTCGTCCACTCAGAAGCCACGTCCACTCAGAAGCTACGTGGGCAGTTTATCCTCCTGCCTCGGCACTTGTCGCGCTTGCCGCCAGGACATGGTTTCTGCGTCTGCCTCGTCGGTCTTTTCGCAGTTGAAGCGCTCTCAAAGACTGTTTTTTTCTTTCTTTCTTTACTTGCTCGTCAGCCGCGTTTGCCGTCGGTGCACTTGACAATGCGCCTCCCCGCAATTGCATTAGGCAACTTCTGAGCAGCGTTCAGAGGCTCTTGCCTGTTTACGTTCGCAGAACCCTTAGATTGCACGGGCGGTGTGACCGCTCAAGCCAAGCGCAACATTTGCAAAGTCTCTCGCGAGCAGTGGCGACAGAAGCGCGAGAATTGTGTTTCAAGCTGGAGTAATTGGCGCAGGAAGTCGCTGGCACTTCTCGCGAAAGCCTAGGCGCACTGTTGCAACGCCTTGCTATGCTGTTGTGTTGTTTCGGAGCAGCAAGTCAATCGCGTGCGTGTTTGCGAGGGATGCTGCTCCTGATGTTTGTGCCTTGGCTGTCTCGGGGTGGACGAGAAATGTGGTCAAGTTTGGCGCCCGAGCAGTCTGCGGCTGCGGCGCAAAAGAGAGCTTGCAGACTGAGTGAGAACTTGTTCACGACTTTCTTCTCACCCCACTGCAAAGCCCTGAAAATGATGATAAATATGATGGTAAAACGAATATGTTGATGAACATGATGATGATAATTAGCTGAAAAATCAGTCATGGTTCTATTTTTCTAATCAATTAGAAAAATAGCTGAAAAATCAGTCATTTCTTTTCAATATTCCGATTTTTTCTAATTGCCCCCCGGTCTCCGGGATGTTGGGACCTATTTTTTCTATTTTTCTAATTTTCTAATTAATTATATTTTTCTAATTAATTAGAAAAATTAGAAAATTATTTTTTCTAATTAATTGAAAAATTGCAAGAATGAAAGGGCCGGATAACCCCACAAGTCTATGCTTAGTCAAGTATGCGACACTTGCATCTGCCGAGCAGCGAATAATCCCAAATCCAAGACATGCAAAGACCCTCACATGCAAAACCTTCACGCAGTCAGCTAGCACAGAATGCTGCGCCTGCCACGACTTCGGCAATGGCATCTCCAAAGTGCTGCGCCTGCCACGATTTCGCGAGCCCCGAGCCGCGCGCGCGACAACATCCCAGCCCTTTAGACAGCTGCCAAATGCTGCCCCTGCCACGCAAACACACGCTCAGATGCACAGAATGCTGCGCCTGCCACGACTTCGGCAACGGCATCTCCAAAGTGCTGCGCCTGCCACGATTTCGCGAGCCCCGCCGCGCGCGCGACAACACCCCAGCCCTTTAAACAGCTCCCAAACCTGTGAGTGAGTGAGTGAGTGAGTGAGTGAGTGAGTGAGTGAGTGAGTGAGTGAGTGAGTGAGTGAGTGTGTGATTGAGTGAGTGTGTGTGACTGACTGTGTGTGAGTCAGTGTGTGTGAGTGAGTGTGTGTGAGTGAGTGACTTTGCGCGGGTGAGTGAGTGAGTCAATGTGAGTGAGTGTGAGTGAGTGAGTGTGTGTGAGTGAGTGTGTGTGAGTGAGTGTGAGACAGTGAGTGTGAGTGAGTGGGCGGCGGGGGCGGCGGGGCGGGCGGCGGACGGCGGGGCCGGACGGCGGACGGCGGGCGGCGGGCGCGGAGCGGTAAAAGTAAGAACCCCACACAAAGATGTGGGGAATTAGGTCCCAACATCCCGGAAACCGGGGGACAATTAGAAAATTAGAAAAAAGCAAAAAAAATGACTGATGTTTCAGCTAATTTTTCTGATTAATTAGAAAAATTAGGAAAATTAGAAAAAATCGACTGATTGTTTAGCTATTTTTTCAATTAAGTAGAAAAATTAGGAAAATTAAAAAACAATGACGGGTTTTTCAGCTATTTTTTCTAATTCATTAGAAAAATAGAAAAATGAGAAAAAATGGCTGACTTTTCTGCTAACTTTTCTAATTAATTAGAGAAATTAAAAAAAATTAGTAACAAAAATAGGTCTCAACATCCCGGAGACCGGGGGACAATTAGAAAAATTGGAAAAATTAGGAAAATTGACTGATCTTTCAGTTGCTTTTTCTAATTAATTTGAAAAATCAGTCCATTTTTCTTCAGTCAATTTTTCAATTTTTTAATTTTTCTATTTCATTAGAAAAATTGGCTGAAAAATCAATCAATTTTGGCTGAAAAATCAATCAATTTTTCTATTTTTCTAATTTTTCTAATTGTCCCCCGCATTGTTTTTCTAATTTTTCTATCTTTCTCATGAATTAGAAAAATTTGCTGAAAAATCAGTCATTTTTTTAATTTTCCTAATTTTCCTAATTAATTGAAAAAATAGCTAAACAATCAGTCGATTTTTCTAGTTTTCCTAATTTTTCCAATTAATCAGAAAAATTAGCTGAAACATCAGTCATTTTTTCGAATTTCTAATTTTTCTAATTGTCCCCCGGTCCGGGATGTTCGGACCTATTTTTTCTAATTTTCATGTTTTTCCATTTCTTCTAGTTTTTCCAATTAATTAGAAAAATTAGTGGAAAAGTCAGTCAATGTTTTCTAATTTTTCTAATTATTTAGAAAAATTATAATTAATTAGAAAAATTAGAAAAAATAGAAAAAATAGGTCCCAACATCCCGGAGACCGGGGGACAATTAGAAAAAATCGGAAAATTAAAAAGAAATGACTGATTTTTCAGCTATTTTTCTAATTGAATAGAAAAATTAGAAACCATGACTGATGTTTCAGCTAATTATCATCATCATGTTCATCAACATATTCGTTTTACCCTCATATTTATCATCATTTTCATCATCATTTCTGCGCGCAACACGTTGTGACACATTTGGTATAATCTTCCCTCATACGGGGGAGGGTGCCAAGTCTTTCTGCTTGTCGGCTGCGCTGGCGAATTATTTGAAGGCGATGTTTCTGTGACTCCTGGGCTTTCCAGTGGGGTGAGAAGAAAGTCGTGACCAAGTTCTCACTCAGTCTGCAAGCTCTCTTTTGCGCCGCAGCCGCAGACTGCTCGGGCGCCAAACTTGACCACATTTCTCGTCCACCCCGAGACAGCCAAGGCACAAACATCAGGAGCAGCATCCCTCGCAAACACGCACGCGATTGACTTGCTGCTCCGAAACAACACAACAGCATAGCAAGGCGTTGCAACAGTGCGCCTAGGCTTTCGCGCGAAGCGCCAGCGACTTCCTGCGCCAATTACTCCAGCTTGAAACACAATTCTCGCGCTTCTGTCGCCACTGCTCGCGAGAGACTTTGCAAATGTTGCGCTTGGCTTGA